GCGACCAGACTATGGTGCATGGCATTATCAAAGTGCTCTTAAACACTGAAGACATTTATCTAGCTGATTCAATGCAGTCAAACTTGTGTACGTTGATTTTAGCAAGAAACTGGCTATGGAATGAAAACTTTTGGGTGCGATATCAATGGCTGGTATTTTCTTTAGATTTACATATTATTTACATAGGCAGATACCAGGCTTTACTGAGGAAGGTTGTGTTTAAAGGGGGAACAAAGACATTTATCTTCAAATTTCAATGGGCAGTTGGCAGAAGTCGGTTAAAACACAGATGAATAAACTGTTTGTTTGCCTTGAGGCTCATTTCAACTTCTCTACTGTCAAACTAAGGAACCTAAAAAAAACAAAGTTTGTGAAGTGAAATTTGATCACACAGACTTCTTTTTACTTAATATATAATCTGTTCTCTTTAAAGACAAGTAAATTATTCTCAGAATTTATGACCTTGGCCTTACTAATCAACATGTAATTCTGCCTCTGTCTCCGGGGATACACACCCTACTTGCTCCTGCCAGTAAGCTTTCTTTTACATCTAGTGGATGTTGTTGGTTGTTTTGAGTCAAATGCACAACCTTTGTTTCGGAATGATTTTTTTTTCTGATTTGATTATACGGATGGTTGTGGATTAAGATCATTTTATAATAAGCGTTAATTTGAAAGATCAGCTTTAAACAATTCGGTCATAATCTGGAATCTGTCTCCTAGTGGTGATATATTTTGTACTGCTAATATTTGGAGATTGTACAACAAGCTCATTCATGCAGTCTGCGTTCCCAGCTTTTGAATGTACAATGCAGAGCACACCGAAGGTGAAACAGCACCGCATTTTTACAAGGTCTTTATCCAGGGAGGACATGACACACTATGTTGGAAAAATCACTGCGGCATTCAGGAACATCTGCTCTGATTGATAAAAACACAATGAGGCTTGTTAATTTTATTCCTTCACAGAACACAGGCTGCAGTGTCTGCCCCCACATCATACTGCTGGCACACCATCCGCGCAGTGTGAACGTGGTAAGTCGCATGATGACAGGTATCAACAAACAGCTGCTCTGAGCTGGCCCCAAGGTCGAAGGTCACCAGCCATGGCTGGGGTACCACATCCGTACGCTTCTACTGGAATTAAGTGTCTGGAGATTTCCTTGACTCAGTGGACCGATTAGCCAGCTGAACTCGTGGACCTAGTTTGGTGTTGCCTCAGAAACTAATCATGTCATTTCCAGAATCAGGTCACAGTTGCCAAGGTTGAGACTCCGCCATTTGGCTTAACAAACGCACCGTTAATAACTTTAAACCCACGAAAAAGGATTTCCGCTCTAAAAGCTTTCTTTTCAAAACACGTCATAATCAGTAGCTAATCTGAGATCATTGACGGATCACATTCTTTAACTTAGAAGTCTTCAACTCCACGAGTAATGCTGATTTCCCCTCATCTTCTTTGTCTCTATAACATAGCTTCCCTGAAACAGAAGGTGCTCTTCCATAGGGCAAACGAAGGCAGAGATGGAAATACTGAAGCTTCCTCACTAACTAGAATTTACAACTAAAAATTCATTTTAAAGCCCCCTGCCTGCACTGCACAAGCATATTCAGCCCTTCTGGGGAAGCCAATGGTCACATCAAGTCAACGGTGTGCAGTCCAGCAGGTGGGAGAGGCAAGAGGATTTGTTTTTAGCTCAGGAGCTGCCAATATGAAAGATAATTATTTTTGCACTATTCCGGGATGTTCCCACATACTGTACTGCCACTCCACTTCGATGCTCTGGGCCTGAAAATGTCAGGCCTTGAAGGCAGCGACCCTGAGAACGGTCGGCATGTGGACAGCGTCTGTCAGGCAAAACACGATCCTGCAAATGTTACAATGCTCCGCACCTTTCTGCCATGTACGCCTGTCGCTCAATGAAACTTTCTTACGCCTCGACCAAGCTCTGTTACAGCAAAGGTATCTTTAGATTCTGGATGGCAAGTGGCTCTTACAAGTGGTGCATGTCACATGTCAGACAGTCTTTGCGGTCCTGCTAAGTGCCACTGACCTCTTCGAAAACAAGCACTGCCCGGCCAAAAAAATTGTCACCATTTGAATTTAAATCAGCAAGTACCTAAGAGCCAATGATTGCAATGTTATGCAGCAATAAAGTGAAGTCAGTTGAGCACCTGAATCTCCTGAATGACCAGGGTATCCCATCAATGGGTATTTTCTTTCCTAATGGCACGGGCATATTCCAGGACGATAATGCCAAGATTCATGTGGCTCGAATTGTCAAAGAGTAGTTTAGGGAGCACGAGGATTCATTTTCACACATGAATTGGCCACCACAGAGTCTTGACCTTAGCCCCATTGAAAATCTTTGAGCTGTGCTGGGGAAGACTTTACAGAGTGGTTCAACTCATCGATACAAGATCTCAACGAGAAATGAATGGAAATCTGGATGAAAAAAAAATGTTGAGATGTTGCATAAGCCTGTGGAAACAAAGCATAAACGAATGTGCACCATAATCAAAGCTAAAGGCGGTCCAACGAAATATTAAAGTGTGCGAAATTTAGGCAGTGTGTATCTGGGGCAAATCATTCAGAGACCAAGGGAAAGACGCAGGATTCTGACAGACATTTCATTCCGCTGTGTCTCTTTCTAATATTTGGCCTTGTGACTCTGGAGGCATCGACACACTGATATTCCCACGTATGCGTTATCTCCAAGAACCCTCAGTAACCCTAACCATCCATGTGCCCTTCATGCATTTTTTCCAACTGAAATCAGTAATCTGTTTGGCTCACGTTTTTTTGCCGTACATTTTCTTGAAAAGTGAGGCAAAACAACCAGTTTAGCAGCGACACTAGCCGAACTCTCACCAAAAAAACCCCTTGATCACGACAACAGGTTTTTAAAGGCAGAGTAAAACGATCAGCTGTCAGATATGAATGAGAATGTAAATATGATTATAAAACAAGATTTTCCAGAAGTTTTCTTTTCTTTTCCTTTTAAGTGACAGCATTTTCCATCATGGTACTTTGATCACTGTGAGCAGCCGCAGGGTAATAATAATCTCCGACTTATTAAACAAGATCGCTGATGTGAAGAAACTACCTCACATAAGTTGTCAGAGCACGCAAAAAAAAAGTCAACTCCCAGATAGGTTTTCTACAGCATCGAGGCCAAACTAAAGACACCTGAATAGCTGAACCGCCTTACATTATTCCTAAACACTGTAAACTAACTAAAAAAATCACTGCTGATGTCAGTACCCTGGAGACCCTTCATGTCAACAAGCCAATCATCAAGTGTCTTGTGAAATCACTGGTCCAGAATTCATCCTTTATCCCATCAGTCTCTGTATGCCACCCACCCAAAAGACATAGCAGTAACTAAGTTGTTTGTGTGTGACTCAGCAGACTAAGCCTCTGAGTCTATGATCGGAAGGTTGCTGGTTCAAGCCCAACCATTACAGGACGGTCAGGTCTGTGGGGGCCCTTGAGCGAGGCCCTCAACCCCCAGCTCCATGGGTGCCGCTACAGGTGGCTGCCCTTCGCTGCCAGGCTTGGAGCACTTATCTGTGTGTCATGGAGAGCAAGATGGGGTAGGCAAAAAGGGAATTTCCCAACATGGTCAATAAGGTGTCATTATTATTATTACATTTCCAAGCCATACAACCTGCTGAATCAGGAGAGGTCCATGCAGAAGGTTCTTGTAGGACTGTGGACTGGATCTGGATATTTCAACTTTGCTAACAGCGGAACTTCAACCCCTGAAAATGCACCGTTGCCATAGGAACGGGCCTATAAGGCGGCGGCTGTGAGTGCTACGTTAGGGGGTGTTTGGTGCGGGTCTATCCAAGCTCAAACTCTGCCTTGGCCTAGAGGCACCTAAGGCCCGATGAGGGAAAGGCCCAGTCGCACTGCGCAACATGCTTTCGGGTTCAGGTACCGTGTCGCTAAGAAAAACATTAGCAATTAGCAACATTTTGCCAGTTAGCCCCAAATTAATCTTTATTTTTCCAGTATTACAGCTTTAGAGGATCTGAAAATGGCAGCTCATGGGGAAACAGATCGCGAGCTTGACTAGTTGTTATAAGGAGTTTGAGAAACATCTTGGCAGATAAGTCAGGAGCATCACCTGGATTTACAATCATCCACGTTTTAGCGTCCTTTGGCATACAACGTCCTCATGGGATCAATTACGTTTTACATGTGCTGCTAGACGCATATAATGGATAGCCAAAACTCAGGGCTAAAAAAAATTTAAACAAATGAACGTGAAATAGCCAGTGCTGAAAGTCAAAGCCACTTAGGAAGAAACCCCATTTGAATTTCACCCAGAGAGTTCTTAAAAATTGCAGCCAAAAACCATTTGGTCAGATTTCAAAAACCGTAAAGCTGCAGGAATTTGACAACTATAAAAAAAAAAACTACAAGGAACCATTTTATTAAGACTCCGGCTCGGCGTGACTGATGAATCTAACCCTTTTCACAACTCAGGGCTAATTCACAAGTGACCTTACAAAATATGTCTCTTACATAGCTTTACAATTCAGTGTTTATTGATATAGAAATATTTGTATTTCATTTTTTTTTTGCTACAATCATAAAAAGAAAAAAACTGATGCTGATCAAATGTCCAAATGTAGGAATCAGTTATCAGTTTGCTCCGTCTTTACAAAATATCACTGCCGTTTACTGAGCAGCGCTGTGCGTGAGGGGGTGTCCATTCATGGAAGGTGGCGTATCCCATGAGCCACCTTGGGGTGCTTTCCTTCAGGTCCTCATGTGTCCTCGTTTTATTTTTCTTCCCCCGACTGAGGGAATGCTGGGGGTGGAGAAATCAGGCGACAAAGAAGTTTCACAAAGTGCTAATCATCTCATTATAAAATTATGGCGTGAAATTCACCCCCATCCCCCCACGATGGGAGAACCAGTCGCATCAGAGTCCACAGCGCCCCCCCCCCCCCGGGGGGGAAACCCGTCCCCTCAAAGGCCCCCGCGCCCCCCCCCCCCCTGGATGAGTGCACGTGAAGTAGGTCCCTTTCTATACGTCCCAAAAAACAACCACAATAATAATAATATATATATTAAAAAACCATTGTGCGTGTCCAAGGTGCTGCCAAAATATTGTGGTCTTTCCGAGTCAGGTGGTGTCCACATTCTGCCAGTGACGTCCATCCTGAGCCTGGCTGTGCCGTGTTCCCCCCCCCATCTCAAAGACACCCGCATCAGTTCCTCTCGATCTGCTCGATGTCCAGCTCGCCCCCCAGCCGGTCCGCATCAGTCCCGGAGCTGCGCGGGACCCGCCAGCACCCACCCGCGTCGCCTCCGGCCGAATAGCCACCCGCTTCCTTTCCAGACGGGTCTTTGCGACGTGTCATCATGTGCCGAGGCTCCACCCCCTGGTCGTCGCAGTCAATTGGCTGCTTGGTGCCATTGCTACAGGAAGGGGCGGGGCTACAGCAGGAAGTCTCCGTAAAGCCCGGACAGCTGAGGCTACAGAAAGTCGAGAGTTTCTGTGAAAACAAGGAGAAGAGAAAGTAAGCGATCGGTTTCACATGCCTGCGCAACGCAGCACAGCATCCATTTTGTGCACCTACGAAATGCTCATTTTCATTATCAAAATCCCCAATGTTGTCATACATGTCAGCCCTGTCAAGTGTCCGACACTCCCTCCGTGTCGCTGCCGTCGCCACGGTAACCGGGTGTTTGCATTGTAAATCATCTGCTTTCTTCCAGCCACACGGTCCATTACCCCCCCCCCCCTGCATCTCGAAGGCAGAAAGGCCACCAGGCTTCGCTCAGAGCTTCAGCAAACCAGGCATGGGGGGGGAAGTCGTTTAGATTTATGGATTTAGCGTTTCTCCAGGTTTTTTGTGGTGGGTCGCCCGGCGGCTGGGCTAACGTGCCGAGGTAGCTGGGCGACGGGACCAATAGTCCACCTACAGCCCTGCCCCCCCCCCATACTGCACAGAGTCCCCCCAGCTGAAAAGAATGAAATAAAAGTTCCAGCAGCATAGTGACTCAGAGCGGCTGGGGAGGGGGTCACTGCCACCACAGTTTCAGTCATGTGCCACCCCAGGAACGAGAAGTGCATGCGGCTCTCAGAAAGCGAGAAGTGCGGGGGGGCGGGGGTGTCTGAGTATCTGGAGCGGATGTGGAGGGACAGCAACACTACTCAGGACTGCGCTGTCTCTCTGGGGGTGCGCTTTCTCCCACGCATGGCCTAAAAATCTGTCGGGGGGGGTGGGGGGGGAGGTCAAGGTAGTAAGATCCATTTCCCAGGCATCCTGGATCCTTCGGAGGGGGTGTCACCGAAGTGCCCCTTATTTGCTATTCAGAGTGTCTCCTTGCTACATCCATTGCGTGAGCCCCCCCCCCTCCCCCGTACCCCCCTCTCTGGATGCTCAGACAGGGAAGGAGAGAGGGAGGGAGAGAGAGAGACCAGGCCAACCGCTGATCTGGTGTGGTCCCTGGCCCCGTATGGCCGCCCACATCCTCGCCCAGCCAACCGGCGCCGCCCCCCAGGGATAAACAGACAGATAGAGAGACAAGTCTTTGGTAGTCAAAGAATTGTTTGAAGCTTTTTACCCCAGGTAGTGAGTTTATATTTGCTCAGGAAAAAATGTAACATGAAAACATATGCAAATTAAGGGTAACAAGAAAGATGAAAATGAACCTCTTCTGTTCACCAGGCAGTTGCTGATATCTCATTGGATGGTTAGACGCACGCCGCTTCAGTTCCCAAACCTCTCCTCAGGGGCACCTCAGCCGTTCCATATATTTGTTAAATTTCCCCAGCAACCCAATTAATTAATTAATTAATTAATTAATTAACTTAATTAGTTAAATAACTGAATGAGGTATTAATCGCCCAAAGATGGTAGGTCAAGTGTGCCCTGAGATGGGCTGGCCCCCCATCCAGGGTTGTTCCCTGCCTCGTGCCCGTTGCTTCCAGGATAGGCTCCGGACCCCACGCGACCCAGTAGGATAAGCGGGTTGGACGATGGATGGATGGATGGTAGGTCAAAAAATACTTGCGCATGTTGGATAGTTACTGTAAATACTGGGATGATTTTATGAGAGGTGACACTTTGACAGACAAAATCGTAGTTTTACACTAACATGAAGATCAATTAAAACATTTTCTTGACTGTCTAAGACTTTTGCACAGTGTGGTAGAGACAGACAGACAGATCCAGGAAAAGCACATCTAGAAACACGTTTGTCATAAGAAAGTTAGTTCTAACTTGCGTTCAGGGTGACACACTTAGGCGTCACACACCTGAGCCGTCTGCTGTCCCCACAAATGACAGTTTACAATTCTCCCAAACAGGCATTCAGCTTAACGATCCAAGAGCTCTCCACCCGATTTACTAATAGACAAAGGAATGGCCCGATATGTCAAAACGGCAGGACCCCCCAACAGGAAACGCAGGGTAGATACGGGAGGGATGAGCGCCATTCTGGAACGCCGGAGCACAGACCAGGAAAACTCGCCTGGCTTTTTTATGAGCAAGGCTCTGTGCCAGTAAAGTATTTATAGTATGTGAGGACCCTGGGTCAGGCCTGTGCACTGCCTGAGCTAAACTCCTAGCGCGTAGTTTCCTGTGGACCAAATCACATCTGTCGTGTTTACAAAACTACGACATCTGAGAGCTAGCTAAAAAAATTATTCAGGGAATACGCATAGCCTTTCAAAATAAATAGATGATCGGTAATACATCATATTATAATTAATATTTAAAATCCAGCTTTCACTGTAGTTTTCTGAGAAGCTCTTGAGGTTCTTCACCTCACAATAAAAGGATGAAGTGAATGATGTTATCGAAACATCCCATAATCCCAGAGACCTGGGTGATGATTGGCGCTCAGGAGCATGCAAATGCTGCAGCAGCGTCTCTCGGGGAAACAGCTACAGTTCTCCTAGCAGACGAGCACAGAAACCGGCCCGTCACCAAGTGCCTAAACAGGAGCACACACAGGAGACACCTGGCCAGAAGGTTCTGGAAGCTGCAGTTTATCAGCTTGTAACAGCATGGAGGTCCACTCTGTCCCCGTGAGACTTCACGTGACTCGTCCAGATGTGGCTACAGAG